AACTTGTTAGTACAGTCTGTACATAAGTCAAAAGTAAGCTAAAAAGTAAGAACAACATAAGATGACAAAGTAGAGTGTCTAAAAATGAAATGAGTAAAAAATAGGGGTTTTATTTTACATATAGACACTATAACGGACTGGGTCTAACACAGGTTAAAATATATCCATATTCGAATGAACTCTATTTGTATAAGATAGGGATAAAAGATAAATTATACAAAGAGATACGGATAAACCAACTCGGTCAAGGGGCGATCTCAGTAGTTTTAAAATTTTCCAGAATATTTTGGGAGATTCCACGGTGTCTCGGGAAATTTCTGCTATTCTTCTCGTTTTGGCATATTACATGCCGCTTCTCGGCATTATTCGACCAATATTTAGGTCTGAGACACAAAAATTCCCTTCGATGTTATGAATATATTTTATATTTCATTTTTTATTGAAATTTTAATTTATAGTATTTTTTGGTTCATCAATTTATGTTCACTTTCTTTGTAATAAAATATTAATAAAAATAAAATATAGATATTGCATCATTTAATGGCAAGTACAGGAAGGACAAGGAGAATGTGCTAGGTACCCGATGCCGTGCGTTTGTTGCTGCGGGTAGAGTTTGAATTTGATTTTTATTTTTTATAAAAATGATAATAATAATAATAATATATTACAAACATACTAAATACTGCTCTCTTTATTCCATAAATATAGTCTTAATTGGATTGGGCACGATATTTAAGAAATATTGATATTATATTGATAGTGGGTAAAAATTATGGAATAAAATTTTTTTTGCCCTTGTAAGTGTATTAGTGTAAAAATTAGTGGCAATTGTGTAATAAAAATGAAAAAAGTAAGGATAATTTTATAGTGGTATGATTATTTATGAAAATAAAACTATTGTTTTGGGACGGACAAAAATGGTAAACAAGACTATTGGATTGGGACGGAGGAAGTACAACTATATATTTATTTTGTCTCATTTAAAAATATTATTTTGAATTTGAGAGTATATCAGAAAATAATAGTATTTTAGTGATTAACAGATGTGTACGAGAGGTTTTAATATTTTTGTCTTTTGATTTTATGTATAAAATGTAATAATATATTTGTAATTTCGATAAAAGAAAAAAAAATTTAAGGTATTTTAATTTTAATATATGTCTACTCTTACTAAAATAAAAATTGATATTTTTTAGTAGAATAAATGAAATTATTTTGAATTGGGACAAAAAAAATATAATATAAATATTATTGTGTAGAAAATAAAGAATGTGTTTGTTTTGTATTTTAATTTTACATATTTTATTTGTTAAATATGAGAAATGTATCATTAATATAAAAAATAATATTTTATATTAAATTATTAATATTTTTATTAATTTATGAAATATATATACTGCATATTGTATATTGAGTAAGTGTGTATATAAATCCTTAATAATACTATAGAAAATTGTGTGAAGAATTGTTGTTAAATGAACACATAAATTTTATATAATACATTAAATAAATATTACTCCATTTAAATAAGATCATAGATAAAAACGTGTTAAAAAAATTGTTAAATGAACATATAAATTTTTATAGAATACAATAAATATATATTTATGTAGCATAAAACAGAAAATAATATTTTGTAACAAAAGAATATTATGTTTTTATTAAAAATTATATAAATCTTTTATTTGAAGTATATATATATATAAAAAATAATTTTAGCTACATGTAGATCGGCCACTTTATTTATGAATCATTAATGTAAATTAATTTATAAAAAGTAAAATTATTTAGGCAAATATATCCATTATTTGTTTGGGAGTTTGGATTTTGAGTTGGGATTTGAATAGCAAAAGTTTTGAATTTGAATAATTGTATGATGTGATATAAATAGGTGATGATGTGATATTTTGAATGTAAAATTGATTTTTAGTATAATATAAAAAATAAAAAATATGTATTTGATTTGATGTTTTTGGGAATAATTTTTTGGATGAGCAATAGGATTTTGTCAAAATCCATCAAACGAACACAACCTAAGTCTATGAGTGTGTACCTATATTTTATAGGGGTGTGTTTCGTACAAGAAAAATAAAAATGAAGAAATTGGAATATATATACTTATTTGTTTGTTTACTATTTTGATTTAATGAATTTTTTAATGTGAGGTATACATGGAGTTATGTTATTAATATAAAAAATAATGGTTTCGTTCATGCAGTGTTTTTTTTTATATTATATATATATTTTTTTGTGGCATAAGAAATTGTGTCAAAAATATAAAATACATTATTTTAGGTTGAATATTTGATTTGTTAACATTTTTTTTAATGATTTTTTACCTTTTTATAATGAGTATTGCGAATATTTTAAATTAAATGTTAATTTTTGTGAGATGATCAAATATATATATTGAAAATTGTGTCAAAAATAAATATTGGCAAACAAACCTATGTATTAGTTTTAGTTAAATAATTTAAATTTTCAATTTCATTAGAGTTTTTGAAAAAGAATATACAGATTATTGATATGAATAATTTATACAATACATTTAATCTGTATTCCTTGACAGAGGTATCAAATTCTCCCTAACTTATCTCTATCAATTCCGGAGAATGACATAATGTCATTTTTATTTTATTTTTTTTCTGAAAAATATTATATGTTAGTCGATTATATTAAATTTTATTGTTTATATTTTTTAGATCTTAATTGGACTAAATAATTATAAGCTGAAAAAATATAAATAATCAAAGCTCATATATGGTTATATTAAAAATGCTTTGGATATATTTGGTTTTAATTTAAAATAAATTTTTATTTGAATTTTAATTTAAATAATATTTGATTCTATATTTTTGGAATTGAAATTATGTATTTATTTTTATTTAAAATCTATACATACTAGACTTTATGGTGTTATTTATGTTTGAAATTTTTTTTATATATATTTTACATTATGCTAAAAAAAAATACTTTATCCACAGTTTAGAAAAAAATGTATGTTTTTCTTATAAAATAAAAACTACTTCACTCAAATAATATAGTAATATAATTTTCTAAAATAAACACTTTCACAAACTCTAATAACTAGTAACATTTTTTTTTTTTCACAAAATAAAAAACAATACCTTTATTTACATAATATTTTCTGAAAAAATTTAATATTATTTATTAATATTAATTTTTTAATAAAATTTTAAATTAAATATATTTTTTTTTTCAAATTAAAGGGTTTTTTTTTATTTTGTGATTTCAAGAGATTATTATTCACTTTAAATGAGTAGTTTTTAATAAAAATAAAATATTTTTTTTGATAAAATATTGAATTAAGATATTATTTAAATAAAAATAAAAATTATTATTTTATTTCAAATCAATTTCAAATTGCAATTAAACAAACTAAAAAGTATTGTTTTAAAATTTTTTATTGTAATACTTCGTTTACTATTTTTGTCCGTCCTAAAACAATAGTCTTATTTTCAAAATAACCATATCACTATAAAATTATCCCTGTTTTTTTATTTTTATTACACAATTGCTACTACTTTTTACACTAATACACTAACAAAGGCAAAAAGGTTTTTATCAATATTTTTTATCAACTACTAATATAATATCAATATTCATTAAATATCGTGTCCAACCCAATTAAGACTATAGTTCTGAGACGGAGGGAATAGTATTTTATTGGTTAGTGAAAATGTATAAGAATTTTCAATATTTTTGTCATTGATTTTATATATAAAGTTATTGTATATGTAATAATATATTTGTAAATAAAATAAAAATTAAAGAATATTTAATATTAATATATAATTATTTTTTCTAAAATAGAAAATAAATACTATAAAACAAGCCAGAATATTTATTTATTTAAATAGCTGTATTTGTCTCACTTCAATATATTTATTTGGTTTTTGTAGTAAATTAAAAAATATTACTACTTCCATCATCTAAATTTATGTTCATTTAACTGTGTACGTATGTTAACAAAAATGAATAAAAATAATTTTTTTTTTTATAGTGAAAAAAAAAATTAAAAAAGTAATATATATTTCTAAAAAAGACAAGAATATTTTTAGATGACGACTAAAAAAAATGAATATAAGTTTCGATGACAAAAAAATAATATTTTATTAATGAGTAAAAATGTATACAATAATTTTCACATTTTTACCTTTGTTCTTTATTAATAAATTAATTGTATATATAATGATATATTTGTAATTTAAGATAAAAATTTAAAAATATTTTGATATTAATATAATTACTTTTATTATAATAAAAATGATATTATTAAATTTGATAAAAATAATATTAAAAATATACTTTCAGATAAAACGGATACAGTATAAAATTTGGAACTTGTTACCATAAATATATATATATATATATCTACGAAAGCAGGCCTACTCCAAAATATTCATCAATTCAGGCCAATTGAACATGATTTTATTAGCTAACATGAAAATTGATCCACCAACAAGAATAACCCCAAAATTTCAAGGCCAAAATTTGACAATGAAGTGTTAGAAACATTACCAAAATAATGTTGTTAAGGTACTTGAAAAAACTATTTTAATTTTATTTTCCTTTAAAAAAACATCAAATCAAACATCAAATTTTTATTTATTTTATTACATTAAAATAATTTTACATTCAAAATTTTACATCAATAAATATTTATATCAAATTAAACAATTATTTCAATTTAAAATTTTACTATTCAAAATCAAAACCCAAAACCAAAATATTACAAGTAAACACACCCATGAAATTGAATGAATCAAATTTATCTTTAATTTTATTGTAATTCAATTTTCTATTGATTGCAACTCAATTGGCACCGTTATCGTATATCACCAGAGGTTCACATCGAGTTACTCGGAAATCCACCGATTCTCTCCAACAGAAAATCAAGATCCAAAAAAAAAAAACGTAACAAATACCGAGTTACTCTGAATGGAGTAAAAAAAAAAAAAAAAAAGAAATGTATTATTTCTTTCCAATATGGAAAGGTTAATATTGGAATTAGAAGTCTTGAAATTGCTCAAAAAAACATCTATCTATAGGCAATTTGACAATATGAAAGCCTATAACTTAACTAACTCTCGAAAAGACAATTAAATAAAATAGCAAAAAGAAAAAGCATATGCCATTAATGGAGGAGGAGTAGTATGGAAATGGTGACCTTTGAATCTACTCTTTAGGCTTTTCTTCCTCTGTTTTGGGAGTTTCTTTCTTATCTCCCTCAGCTTTTGTGGCTTCTTTGCCGTCGTCCGCCGCCTCGTCCTGCATCGAAGAATCCGGAAAAAAAAATATCATATTTAGGTGCATATTGTTTTGGAAGCATGAGGAACGAATCCGACCTGCATGTCGGAGGTCCATAGTGTGAGGTTGTCGCGGAGGAGTTGCATGATCAGAGTGCTGTCCTTGTATGACTCTTCGCCTAGCGTATCCAATTCTGCAATTGCGTCATCGAATGCCTATGCCAAATGCCGAAAAATAGATAGTTTAATCAACAAATGTTGGTAGCCAAATTTGATCGTGATTCAGATAAAACGTATGATAGAGATGGTTATGGTGCTGATCGGGTCAGAATCAGAACGTATGAAACAAACTAACATACGCTTTTATTTAAAACATTGTGTTGGATGAATATATACTTCTTTTGTGCTTAAATCAATTGTAGTATGTATATATTGTGTGAGACTATAGCATGGGTTCAGATACCCTATCCCAATGTATTGTGTTTCTCCTATACCTACCAATCACCATCCGCCATGTGTATTTTTAAAACAAAAAAATTAATACACATAACGGATGGTGATTCTGAACCCCTATGTCATGTGTTGCATTTGTATTATATTAACATAATTCATGTGTTTTTTTTTGTGTGTGAGACTATGTTATGTGTTGTTGGTTTATTCGCTACAATTGTATTATGTTAATATAACATGCATTGTTTTTCTTTGTATTTCTTTATATCATATATTGTCGGTTCATGTGATATATTTGTATTATATTAACATAATTCATATGTTGTATGTTTTTATATTGTGTGTTTTATTCCTATACCATATGTTCGTCCATGTGAGAATATGTGTTTTTTACCTACAATGGATTGAAAATGTTTACCTGTTTAGCGAGATTACATGCGCGATCCGGCGAGTTCAAAATCTCGTAGTAGAAAACAGAGAAGTTCAGAGCCAATCCGAGGCGGAGTGGGTGCGTTGGGGCGAGATCAGAGTTAGCAATGTCCTGCATTTGATTCGATCTGATATGTAAATGAATCCAAGGAGATTATTGAAGATAAATGCAAGAGGAATGTGCATAAACTGTGTGTATGCGATTCATTTGATCATACAAAACAGAGGTTGATTCATATATCTGATGCTTTCCAATCTAAGAGTTACGTAGCTAATTAAGATTTGAGTGTTCTAAACGTGAATTGAAATTGTTCATCGATTCATGACGGTTTCAGATGTTTTTGGTGATCATAGAACTGCAGGTGAACAGAATCTGAAACCCTAGGGGCATAAAATGTGCAATTAAGCTGCTGAATGTAAAGTAAATTGTGAAATTGAAAAGAAATTAGGGGAAATGAGGGGAACCAGAGCGGATTTGTAGGCGGTGAGGGTGCTCTCGGCGGCCTCCTTCCTCTCGGCGCCGGTTTTGAATTCCGCGAGGTATCTGTGGTAATCGCCCTTCATTTTGAGGTAGAAGACCTTGGAATCGACGGCGGAAGCGGAAGAGATGTGGCGTTTGTCGAGCAACTTGATAATACCGTCGCAGATTCCGGCGAGCTCCGATTCGATCTTCGATCTGTACGCCTTGATAGTGGCGACGTGTTCCTCGTTCCCTCGCGACTCCTCCTTCTGCTCTATGGAGGAGATAATCCGCCAGGAGGCTCGCCGCGCGCCGACGACGTTTTTATAGGCGACGGAGAGGAGATTCCGCTCCTCGACGGTCAGCTCCTCGGTCTCCGGCAGGGAGGCCGAGACCTTCTCCATGAATTCCACCATCTCCTCGTAGCGCTCCGCCTGCTCGGCTAATTTCGCCATGTAGACGTTGTCCTCACGCGACGCCGCCATTGATGAAAATCAAAATCCGATCGGTATCCACTGCACCACCGAATTGTGGAAGTGAATTTTACAGGAAAAAAGCTATAAAAATTGGAACGGAGGAGGAGAACGAGAGGATGAGAGCGCATTGAGGAGATTGTTGCGCTTCGCCCATCGATGCTGCTTTGTTCAACCGCCATTCTCTCCCTTCCAAAAACTCTCTCTCTCTCTATATATTTATATGTATATATATCTGTTTGTATGCGCGTCTCTGTTGATACTGGGGAGCTCCCGCCTGTCCAGCGCCACAACCATTTTTATTAAATTTTTTCACGGGTAAATATACAAAATAATTTGTATTTTATTTATTATATAAAATTTTATTGTGTAAAAATATGTTTTATACAAATAAAAAATAAAATATTTTATAAATAATTAGTTAATTTTTTATTTTATAGTTTTCTTTTTATATAAAAATTAGTAACAATTCATTAAAAAAACTATTAAATAAATAGTTGGTAAATTATTTAGTTATTTATTTTATTCAAATAAAATTATTTAAAGTATTTTATTTCACTTCTTCCGTATAAAACTTGTATAATTAAATGAGTATTTACAATCAAATATCAAATTTTTATCAAAATCATATTTTAGTATATTTTAATTTAATAAAAAAATTTATGCAATAAATAAAATATTAAATATTTTATGCATTTTTATTAAAATAAAAAATTATAAAAGTACATAATTTATCTTTATTTTATTCTCAATTTTTTTAAAAAAAGGATAACTATTAATAAAAATAAATATTTGGGCGTGTAATATTATAAATAAATAAATATATACATATTCATATAATATACTATATTTTATATATTCACAAAAAAATAATAATTTAATATAAAATATTACTTTTATACTATTAATTGTTTCCTCGTATTTCACTAAAGAATAGTTCAAAATAAATACAAAACAAACATATCTATCTACTCGAGATAATTATGAAGTTTTAATTGGTCGCATACAAATAATAGAGAAAATGAAATATTATGAAATTTTTATTAATAAGTCAATAAAAAATAATAAAATAAATAAAAAAAATATGTTGAAAGACGCAACTAAGCAAATCACAATACATTACGGGTGGGTTTGTTTGAGGGATTGGATTTTCGATCACTGTTCATCTAATTTTTTTTCCCCAAAAACATCAAATTAAACACCTATTTTTTATTTTTTATATTATAATAAAAATCAATTTTACATTTTAAATATCACATCAACACCTATTTATATCACATCATACAACTATTCAAATCTCAACTCAAAATCCAAACCCCAAATAAACACAACCTAGATGTGGCTGCCAAAATTTAAATGCGTTAGAGGTTTAAATTCGTAACATCGTCACTAATTTTTTCCCACACTATCAGATCATCTTCTACAAATAAATTAATCATAAAATTGACAAAAATAAGTCCGATCTAAAAAGTCTATCCAAAATATGTATGAAAACTAAAAAATTTGTGCTTGGACCTAGAAAAAAGATGCCCAAAAAAGTTCGGGTCGTGTTTGGCTCATCATGAGTATGAACCGGGTTGCGTTTGGCCCGGCCCAATTTTTTATTTAAATATAATTTTTAAAATATATTACTCTTTTCATCCAAATTATTATCTCAGGGTCATTGTAAATGAAGAAATTTAGTTGGAATATAATTAGTAAATAATTAAAAATATATTAGTAAAAATAATTACGATATAATAAAAATAATTATATTAAGATTAAAATAACGATTTAATTTACTAAAAGTTAAAAAAATTATAAATTATAAAAGTTAAAATACGATTAAAATGTAAAATACTTTTTAAAAAATGAAAGTGACATAATATATAAAACGACGAAAGTAGAAAGTATAACATTATATATAGAACGGTGGAAGTAACAAATAAATTTTATGTAAATAATAATAATAATAATAATAATAATAAAAGTAATTCGTTCGTCCCACATAATTTATTTTTTTATTTTTTGAAAAATTAATTATACATTTTAATCGTATTTTAAATTTTAAATTGTATAACTTTTTAAATTTTAATTAAACTATTTAGTTATTTTAATCTTAATATATAATTATTTTTATTATATAATAATTATTTTTTATTAATACACTTCTTGATTACTTGTTAATAATAATTTACCTAAATTCTTGTATCTACATTAATACACTCATATTACGAGGGAGTAGTATTTTTAATTTACATAACAAAAATAAATCCATACACAAATTATGGCCGAAACTAATACATCGTCTGTTTCAAATAAATTGATATATATATTTTTTATTATATTTCATTTTTATTAATACATATCTATATTTTATATAAATATAATTTTACTGTAGTTATACTTATATTATATAATACTCCTTTCGTCCCTTCATATTTTTCATTTTCGTCCGTTCCATATGGTTTGTCCTTTTATTTTTTGAAAATATAATTATATATTTTAATTACATTTTAAATTTTTAAATTTTTTAATCTTAATTAAATTATTTAATTATTTTAATTTTAATTTATAATTATTTTTAGCATATAATAATTATTTTTTACTAATAAATTTCTTAATTAGTTGCAGTGAAGTAGACAAATTTTACGGAACATAAGAAGTATTACACATCACATATCCATTGAAAGTCCCTTTATTTATATTGGTTGGTTTGCTTTGTAAAAAATTTCAAACACATGTCCTCTTTCAAAAAAAATAATATTCTTTCCGTCCATTTTTGAAAGATTTCATTTGAAGTTTTGTAATAAATTAATAAATAATTATATTTTATTAGTTAGTAGAAGAGTATAAAAAAATTTGATATTTTTGTCAATTGACTTTATATAAATATAAATGTATGTCTAATAATATGTTTGTAATTTAAATAAAAGTTAAAAGTATTTTGCTATTAGTGTATAATTATTTATACTAAAAAAAATGATATTTTGAAATGAGATGGACAGAAATAATAAAAATATATATTTTAAAATACGACGGAGAGAATATATTAAAACATACTTATTATTTTTATATTGCATTCACAATTTTATATATACTTCACATAAAAAATATATATATATTTATATATCCTTCAATCGAAAACACAAGACAAATAAACCTTATATTTCTCCTTAATAAATAAATATTTTTATTATATTAAAATTTTTGTATTTTAATTCTAAATTAATATTTATTTATTTGTTTTATATCAATATTTATTATTTATAAAATAATATTTATATATAATTATTTTATTGAAAAATATTAATAATATTATTTATACAAAAAAAAAATATAATAATACTCCTTTTGTCCCTCAACAATTTTTTTTTTTTTTTAGTCTATCCCATAATAAAATATCTATTTTTTTTTTTAGTAATTATATAATCAACATAACATTACAAATACTCTTTCAATTTACAATATATTATACAGATGTCATTACCTTTATATGATACGATACTAATATGATTAATTTAGTCTTTTTATATTTATTTTTATTTTATTTTAATAAAATACTAATATTTCTAAATTTTATGCAAAAAGCAAATGAATATATAGATATAAGACGAAGAAAGTATTATACAGTAAAAAAAATGGCGTGCAGAGGTTAAAACCCCCTACGCCTGAATCGACTTACGGAGTATATATCATTATTATATTAGATATGGAATTAATAAGCCTGCTTTACCTTAGCTGTAATTATAATATTATTAATATATGCATGTTTCGAATCTTTGCCAACTGCATTCGAATTTTTGTATTATTATTATTATTATTATTATTATTATTATTATTTGTATAATATTTTTTTGAAAATAATTATATTTTTTAAAAATATCTTAAATTTCATAATTTATCATTTTAAATTTTATTTAATTAATTAGTTATTTTAATTTTAATATATAATTAATTGTATTAGATAATAATTATTTTTACTAATATATTTTTAAATAGTTTATCAATTACTCCCTCTGTTCCATGTCTATATATATTTATTTGTTTTTTTCATGGAGTTTTAGAAATATTAGTATTATATTGGGATAAAGTATAAATAAAAGTAAAATGACTAAATTAACCTTATTAGTATTGTATGATATAAATGTAATGATATTTGTATAATATATTGTAAATTGGAAGGATATTTGTTATGTTAGCTAGATTGTGCAATTACTAAAAAAAATAAAAAATGAAATAGATACTTTGTTGTGGGACGGACCAAAATGAAAAAATTGATAGATTGTTAAGGGACGGGGAAAGTATATATTTTTGTCTATATTTAAATTTTTGTTAATTTTGATTTGAAATTGTAAAAATATAAATAAAATCCTAAATTTGTATTTTTAATTAAAAAAAAAAGTTATTTAAATTTTATACAGTAAAGTAAATCAGGATTTATTTAAAAAATGAAATAAACAGAGACATTAAAAAATCTAAAAACGATTAAATTAGTAAACGGCATGATAATTTTTAATTAGCGCACGAATCTTAGAAAGTGGACAGCACAACTTTGAATATAATCAAAACTGTCTTACCATAAATTGATTTAATTAATACTTTAATTATCATTATTACATATATTTTATTATTATTATTATTATTATTATTATATTAGAAAAAAGAACAACCGCCATGCATGTCAGTTTGACTGGAACAACCTTAACTTTTTCAACACAAATTTTAAAATAACTAAATGGGTTTTGGATTTTAATACGAGTATATTTTTTAAAATAATTATTTTATTTATATAAGTATTATATTCATATAATATTTTAAACATAAAATTAATTTTGAATAAAATATTAAAAAAATGAACACTTGATTTAATATTTTTTTAAGAAGACCTAAACAAACACTGCCTAAAATTGTTTGCTTTTAAAATTTTTATAAAATAAAAAATATTTATTTAATTTGATTTTTTTGAAAAATAATATTAATATTAATTAAGTAGTGTCTAAATTTTCAAAAGTATAATTTATTATGTTATTATTTGAACTTGATTTGAAATTAGTATTCACTTTAATTTTTTAATACTCCCTCCGTCCCAATACAATAGTCTTGTTCACTATTTTTGTTCGTCCCAAAACAATAGTCTCATTTCCATAAATTACCATATCACTGTAAAATTACTTTTACTTTTTTATTATTATTACACAATTGTCACTACTTTTT